ATTCAGGAACCAGTTCCCAAACAGGACCCACATCTTGGGATCATCGATCGTCGAGGGGTCAAGCTGGTCTGACAGATCCTTGTACCAATCGTAAACTTTCCCTGTCAAGAAAACCGAAAGAGGCGTAAGGCCCAAGTACGTGTCGGCATCTGCTCGAGCTTGTTTGACAACGGAGTTGTATTCCTTAGTTACCTTCTGCCCCCAGTTCAAAGCTCTCGTGAAGACGCGCTTCACCACGAACGAAACGACGATGATTGCCAAGAACAACGGCGTCTGCATCAGAGTTACAATGTTCTTCTTGCATCTCGATTGCTGTTCTTGGTATCCCTTGTCCTCGGCAGCCCCGACCTTCGACGCCTTGAATTCCTTCGCGCCCCTGAAGACAGAGATGAGGACAGCCGCTAGCCACGAAATTGCCTTGGCCAGGATTTTCTCGACAGCGTCGATTGCGCCCCACCTCCCTCGCAACGCTCGGCTCGGGGCTTTGTGCATGCTGTTGGCCGCGTCTGCGCCGAACACAACCTCTGCCTCGCTCCCGATCTTTCCTGCGGCCCCAGAGTCTCGCCACAGATTGGCCGAGGTAGCCACTCAAGAAAAATGAGACGCAGGAAAATCTGATGAATGGTGCCACTGGCCCAAGGCAGTCAGGGCGACCTTCGTAATCAAATGAAGATGGTGGAACAGGCACCAGCACGCGCATAGAGCCACGCAGTCGACGTCCTCTACGATGGCCATCGCCCTTCTAAGGAACCCTCTGCTGTCAGGTCCTTGATGGAGTCCGAAAGCATGCGTCGAAATCTTTCGCGCTGCATCGCCCCCTGGAGGATTCCCGCCCTGGGGCGCGCGCAACGGGAAGTGAGGGCAACCGACAAGAGCAAAACTGCGCCTCGATAGTCGCGTAGATTTCGGCACCAGCCCCCAACCGAACAATATGTAAATCGCAGGCTGTAGACGCAGGTGGGGCGCTCACCATATCGATGTCGAAGACCCGCTCCGCAGGAAGATAATCAGCATGAGCGTCGGACTCCACTCGTGCGACTCGCGCTTCTTCAGCGCCCAAGTGGTTGAGCGTGACTGAAGTTAATGTGCCCACGTGCAGCCTGTGCTTGTCTAGCATGCCCTGCTTCGCGCCGTCGCCCTTGTAGCAAAAAACTCGTGCACGAATGCGTCGCTGACCTCGCTCGCAGTCGGCTTGAATTGGTCCATTCCAGCGAAGAAGTTCACGGTGCGAACGATCTTTGCAATGGCTGCCCCGTGCTCGAAGTTGACAGCGGCCCTAGCAGAGCGATGGCTCAACGCTCCCTGGTGCTCTTCCCCAGCGACGAGCGCAGCCGTCAGGAGAGCCACAAGATGGCCGTGGTTTCGCGGCAAAGCCAAGCTGCATCCGCCGACGGCGGTGACGTTGCGGCCAGGCCTGAATTGCACCAACTGTTTGAGCGATTCAATTTCTTCATCCTTCTGTTTTGAAGCCTCCAGCAATTGTGAACATCGGCCTTTGTAGCGAGCGCAACTCTTGCGTGATGTCTCCTTCTCCTTCTCCAACGATGAAATTGCGCCGCCCCGAGCAACAATAACGCTGTTCAGCGCATCACGATTGCACGTGCTGCACGGATCTGCTGCAGAAAGATCAACGACTTCAGCTCGCTCAGCTCGGGGTGCCACGGCAGCAGAAGACGAAGATGGGGCGTCTTGAGTGGCGTGCAACTGGGGTGGCCTCGCTGGCGGGGCTTGTTCAGTCATGAGCATCAGAATCCGTCTTGAAGCCAACCGCTTATCGACATCCAGTGCGTTCAGACATGCTTCTAAACGACGAGCGCCAAATGCTCCGAGAGCGCAGGCGCTCCACACCGTAGGTAAGACTGATACGTGGACAGATGTTGCATCGTATAAACCAGTCGCGCCCGTTGCTGGATGTTTTAAGATACTCACCATTCTCCTTCTCAAGCTGGCACTGGTCACCGCCTCCGCCTCGATCGTAGGAAGCATCGTGCTAGCCACGTCGATAATCTTCACATGGCCCGTCGCTGCAATATGAGGTACAACCCCCTTCTCACGGCCGGTTGTTATGAAAGTGCCCAAGAGAACTTCTGGATTCGGTGGCATTGCGACTCATGGGACTCATGGAGGTGGCCTAGGAGACCTTGGGCCAAAATGGCCTACGGAGAACCTTCTGCGGCACTGCAAGGCACGGCTCATGCTAGTATTTCTCCACGGCACGGCCAGGCACGGCACGCGGCATTGCACGGCTCACGACATTGCATTGCACGGCTCACGGAATTGCGAAGGCACGGCGCATTACACGGCACGGCTCACGGCATTGCACCGCACGGCCGCACGGCACGGCTCTATTGCATTGCACGGCCCGCACGCGGGGCCCACGGAGCCCATGAGTAAAAGGGCCCACGGAGCCTATAAGTAAGGGGGCCCACGGAGCCAACGGAGCCCACGCGGCCCATATGGGGGCCCACGGAGCCCATAAATAAACCCAGCGCCACGTGGTCTGGGGGCCTCCAAGGGGCCTGTTGCCAGTGCCAAGATACGCCTATGTCCATACTTGCCGCGGCCCGATTGGGCCCATTGGCTCTTACCCACCTAACGAGCGCGCGTTTAATTCTGGCCATTTGCAATTCCGGCCACGAATTAGAAATGAAGCGCGCCGAGGGGGCGGCGGAGGCCACGTGCAGCACGCGCATTAGAAATGGGCACTCTGTACCTCTGCACGCGCATCGTTCATCGAGCCGGCTCGCTCAACATCGGCCACTGATTCTGCTGTCCACTGCCGCGTTTCTGTTCGGAGAGCTCGCGCGGCCGCGCGCTGCGCAAGTCGAAAGCTGCAGACAAGAGGGCGTGGCATCCAGCTAGCCAGGTCAGGCGAATTCGCCATCATTCGGCGGTGGACAAACCTTCCTGTAGCAAACCTCCCTTTAGTGAAAACTGCCTGGGGCCGAAACCGACGGACCTGGACCCGCAAAAATAACGGCCGCGCCGCCCTCTCGCAAACCGAAAACGGCCAATTCCATAATTGACGCGTCAGGGTAGGAGGTCTGTCCACCCCCGAATCATCCGTTGCAAACTCTGCTTGTGCGAAATGAGGGCCACGGTTGCCTCTGAAAACTTGTCGCGCGTAGTCTGGGCCGGTGGCGCCATGGTGGAACAAACGGGGGTCGCTGCATCCACTGCCGCCCCTCCCAAAGAACTGAAGAAGTCAGATGATGGCGGATAGTGTTTGCCCTCTCCGAATGTTTCCCGCCGCCGCCCCTGAAGGCCCCGACGGAGCAATTCCAAATCTAAACTTGCAATTCTAACAGTTTGCCACCAAACGCTCTGTTGAGGCACTGTTTGACGGCAAGAATAATGATGATACGATCTACGTTTACCATGACACATCAAGCCCCCCTGGGCTCTGCATTGGGGTCTTTGCCCCCCTGGACACTGCGCGGAAGGCTCCGAAAGATGAAGCGAAGTACCCGTTCAAGTCTGCACTCCCCCTGCGGCCCGCACGGGCCACTTCAGGCAAATGACTACGGAGGATAGAAGAAAGCAGGAGAAAGGACAGAATGAGGGAAGCATCGCAAGCTGACGCTGCAAGTGCTCGTCAGGATTCCTGGAAAACTCCTTTACTACTGGGGTAATAAAATCCCCCTGTCCAGCGGATTCGACGAGTGCTGCGCGCTCACTCGTGCATCTCTGCGTGCTCTCAGGATGAAGGGAAGATCACGAACTCTTTCTCGTGCCGGTCAATCTCTTTCTCAGACCAGTTCTGAGTACCGTCGTCAACAAGCACGCCCCGCCTGCAACCTATTTCACTCTCATTCAAGAGGGGCAAGGTATTCCGCATTCCTTTGAACCAACGTTCCAGTTCGTTCGCCATCGCACGGACTTGGAGAGAAACCCAGAACACGATCACCAGCAATGAGCTCTCGAAATGAAATACATCTCGAACGCGGACCCATCCCGGCCCAGGGAGCGGGCGGCACTCGAAGAGAGGCGTGCGGTTTGGATCCACGGCAGGCGTAGCCACTGCAGCGCACCCGGCATCGAGGACAACCTCGCGCTGCTCCTCGTTCTCGGCGTCCGGACCGATCTCGAAGCAGACGGCGCCCCCTGGATGTTGCACAGTCTGTCGTTGCTGATTGTGCGTGTCTTCTCGGGCCTCTGCACTTCCCTTCCCGCAGCCGTCAGTCTGGCTGGCAGCTGCGGCGACGCCTTCGGGCCGGCCGAAAGCGTCTGGAGGAGCGTTGAGAGCTGAGCCGGTGCCTCTGCCGCCTTGGCGTCTGGCGCCTCGGCAGCTGCCGCCTTGGCGCTTGGCGCCTCGGTACCGTCGGGCATCTCGAAGCAATCGTTGAGCGAGTTCTGCATCGTGCACAAGCTCTCCTGCATCACCTTCAAGTTCTTGTGTGCGAGATCAATCATGCTGTTGGCCTCGTTCTTGAGATTCAGGATGGCTTTCATGATCTCCTCCGCTTTGTCTTGCGAATGGGGCTTTTCGTGCACGACCTGGCGAGCTGAGAAACGTTCCTGCTTTTTCTCCAAACGTCGCTGCATGGCTGTCGGTGACCGTCTATGGCGCGCTCGTCGCCCATGTGTCGTCGCCAGTGTAGCCACTGCTGCGAAGTCCCTTAAATCAGAATATTCATAGAGCTGTTTCGGCTGATAACCAATAGTTTGCCACCAAACGCTCTGTTGAGGCACTGTTCGACGGCAAGAATAATGATAAAAAGATCTATGTTTACCATTCCACATCAAGCCCCCCTGGACTCTGCATTGGGGTCTTTGCCACTCTGAACACTGCACGGAAGGCTCCAAAATATGTGAAGTGAAGTGAAGTATCCGTTCAAGTCTGTACTCCCCCTGCGGCCCGCACGGGCCACTTGAGGCAAATGACTACGGAGGATAGAAGAAAGCAGGCGAAAGGACCGAATGAGGGAAGCATGGCCAGCTGACGCTGCAAATGCTCGTCAGGATTCCTGGCAAACTCCTTTATTGCTGGGGTAATAAAAACTATTCTACCACTCGCTTTGGCAGGGGAGAATTATCAGCACTGTGACGCACTTGGTGTAAGGCGCGGGCGAATCCCTCGAGGTCCAACCGCAACGGGGAGTCTTCCCTGAGCATCCAACATCGGGATCATGCGAAGACATGTGTTTCTTTAGGTCGGTGGTCTCGGTGGCCCCCCATAGCAAAGCGGTAAAGTATGCAACGCACGTGGTCTATACCCATTTCCACCCCGCATGCGCGTGCATATGCAATCGACGGTTGTCCAACATCGTCCATCCGAATGTTTCCACGTGCTCATACGTTTGAAGTGAGGCCCGGAAGTACTCAATGCACTCATTCCAATACTTTGAAAAACCGACGGAAATTTACCTCCATTGGTGTTTGTGGTTTGGGGCAATCTCCGTTCGCCCGCTTCTCATGCGTGGGGTGGGTCTGGCGCCACGGAGTCGTTCTCGCCCAGCCACCATGTCACCGAGGATCTTTTGGGAATCTTATTCTACGTGGCCTCACAAAGCTGCCAAGTGTTTTGTGACCTTCTGTGGGCGGCCTGGTGTGCATTGGTATCGTCTTCTGGGACATGATGGGACAGCTGGTTGGCGGGGGCGTAGCCGTTGAGCACGTACAAATCTCGATCATTCAGTCCGGAACAGCGAAAACGAATACCTAGTAAGCGCCTAGGGATCCATTGGTGTACACATCTAATTTCTGAAAGATCAAAATAACTAAGGTTGACAACCGTTAGACACCCATCTTCCACTTTGGGGGCTGTCTTCGGGGTCGGAAACGCACGGAAACCCTCGGCCGTGCTGGCGACTCCCATGGACATCAATGCAGTCTGGATGCTGACAATTGCTGACCGCCGCTCTGTCGCTAGCCTCAGAAGACCCCCCAGCCTGTCCACGTTAACAAGCGATTCAGCATTCTAACCCAAGACCCTCAATACTTCCTTAAAGCGGCTGTGTTTACTAGTAGGAGGGGCCGGTGCTCTCGTAGTCTGCGCGGTACTCGAATGGGGCGAAGGCTCGGCAATGTGTGCGGTCAGTGCACCGATGTTAGAGCGAGTAGACCGACGACCTCGATACCAGTCCTCGCCCACGACTGCTGCCATGCTAAGAGCTCGTTTACCTCCCTGATGCCCTTTCTCCCGCATAGCAAAATAAAATTGTCTCGCTACCGCGGTCCCAGCAGGCTGGGCGACCTGCCAGCGCTCGCCACGTCGATGGGGTGTCCCTCCCGCCTCTCATCATCAGCCGCACATTGCAAAGCTGGGAGGACTCGAGAAGCACTTCGGGCGCCGAATTGCAACCCCGCGCTCCCCTCGGTAGGAAACGATGTCTTGAGCCGCCGAGGCTTCTTTTCACTTCCGCTGGCTTCCGCCTGCCGACCTTCCGCCGCCCTCCGCCGAGGAAGAGATGACAACTCAATCGATCCTCGAAGGCGAAAGGCGAGGCCCTTTCTGGAACGCCTGATGTGTCACCATCACCGTCGCCGACACCGTCGGCATCACCGTGATGTTGGTATGGATCACCGTGATGTCTATAGCCAGAACTGCAAGCCCCCTCATCATTCTCATCACCATTTCCACCCTCACCATTCCTCACCCTCCCGCGTGCTCCTCATCCTCATGTTCCTCTTGATCACCCTCATCCTCTTCGCAATCCCCATCATCATCCTCGTCCTCCGCCGCCTCTTTCTGCCCCTCCCAATCACCCCTGGTATACATCGCATGCCCATTCGCATACTCCTGCTCCTCCTTTCCATCTCTGCCCGCATCCTCCTTCCACTCGTCATTGCCAGACTCGTCATCATGGAGCTTGTCCTCATCATGGTCATCACGAGAATCACGATCAAAATCATGACCGTCGTAGTCGCCACCACCACGAATACCATCATGCAAAATCATCATCACCATCAGCAACACCATCTTTACCGTCCTCACAATTCGTCATAATCATCACCAGAATCATCATCATAATCGCCGTCAGCATCAGACTTGCCACCATCACTACCATCTTCGCAGATAGCCAATCATCGTTATCATTATCAGTATCATCCTCCTCCGCATCATCCTCTTCATCCCTCATCTCACTTGTCCTTGTCGTTCTCCCCATTGCATGCCTCCGCCTCCAGAGCCGATCCACGAGCGCCTAGTAGAAGGTACCTGCATATAAACGGTCCAACATGTTCAGCAAAGACTGGGATTACAGAAAACAAACTGTACTTCGAACGTGTTCCGACACGATTGCCCAATTTTGTTCTGCAAAAAGCAATCACCACACAGCGGTGACCCAGGACGGAGGAGCGAGGAGGTCAGAGTGGGAAAGAAATAACGAGAGGAAGCGAGAAAAGGAACACCGTGGACGCCATCTAACAGCACGAGGCTCCAATGGCGGGCCATACCCAAGTAGCTGAGATGAGAGCATCCAGTGCATAGTAAGACGAGCACAACCAAAGCACAGTGCGAGTGAGGCCAGGCAGCGGTCCGACCCTGATTGTGAATGTGGTGATGCTACGGTTGGCGCTGCAAAGATAGCATGCAACATCGATCCCCGGAAAGCATGCTATCCCTGTTGAGGCGATCCCCCCGCGCGGGCCCCACTTTTCCATGCTATCCCCCTGCGAGGGTCGCGTCGGTTCACGCTCGGCTGGCGAGATCTCGCCTTTCTGTCAGGCGAAAGCACCAGCCGTTAACGTCTCGCTGAAAAGGAGCACGGGCTACAAATACAGGGACTACTCCTTATCGCCAAAATTGATTTGGCGGCGCTGCGAGTCCAATCTCCCCTGGCATCGATCAGGCGACGAAAAAGGGGAATTATCCAGCACCGCGCCCCGTGCCCCGCGGGGGCGACCCAGGCACGAGTGGGAGAACTGTTTATACGAGAAAATTGCCCCGCGCTTCGCTTCTGAAGCCGCCATGCAGAAGTGCATTGGCGACGAGCGCACCTGGCGCCATTTCGCTGCGAATTTCGCTACCGATGCAGAATTAATTCGTTCCTGCAAGCAGCAACCAAAGCCTGCTGCCATATTCCGCCTACGCGCCGGACGGCGTTTGGCTCCTCTGTCTGTCTGCGCCCCGCGCCCCGCAGCAAATTGAGCCGTGCGTGGTAGAATTTCATGTGATGCCTTGAGGTGTTCCCATAATCTTCGAAAGGACGTCCATTCTCGACGCAGAGCGTGCAAAGTGCAAACGTGCAGACGGCGCGATCTTGCATCACGATCGCTCAAGACGGCCCCAAGACGGCCCAAAAAGGCCTCCAAACAGCCCAAGATGGCCCCAAGATAGCTCCAGCATGGCCAAACAACCGCCCTAAAATCCTATATGGACAGAACTCACTCACTCACTCATGCCATACGCCGGAGCGCGTGGGCGAAAGAAGACACGGCCGGCCTCTTCTCACCGCTTTGCGGGAGCGGCGGCACGACGGCAGTCGCATAATTGATTACATGCGCGGCTGGAGGAGGGGGAGGAGGCGGAGGAGGAGGAAGAGGGGGAGAAAAGGAGGGGGGGGAATCAACTGGCGGATGATACGAATTCTGCCTGGAACGTATCCGGCCGAAGGCTGCACTCAAGCCGCGAATTAAAATGACCCGCGAAAACTTGCCAGAAGCCTCCTCGAGGCCCCGAGGAGGCCTCAAAGGCTGCCCAAAAATCTGTTATAAATCTCCGGCCTGGAGGACTTAAAAAGTATGCACAATCATGCACTTCGGCTTCTGAGCCTTAGCGAAGCCCCATCGGCATCCCAAGACGGCCCCAAAATGGCTTGAGACGGCCCGAGACGGCCTCAAGATGGCCTTGGACGATCCCCAGATGGTCCCAAGTCATTACCATACTCATCAGTGAACTTGTCCTCACCATGGTCATCATGAGAACCATCATCAAAGTCATCATCGTCGTCGTCACCACCACCACGAACATTATCATGAGTAATCGTCATCACCACCATCATCATCACCGTCATGACCATCAACAGCAATAGCGCCCCCAGCATCAGCAACATTATCGTCATCACCACCAACACCAACATCAACATCGTCGCCGTCAACATCACACTTGCCATCATCGCACCCATCTTCGAATATAACTAAAGATCAACATCATCGCCATCCGCATCATCCTCTTCATCCCTCATCTCCCGTGTTCTTGTCGTTCTCCCCATTGCATGCCTCCGCCTCCTCAGCATGACACTTGCCATCTGCAGCGAACAGTCGACCTCGCAAAGACGGCCCTGCTCGTTTGCGCGCCCGGAAAGCGTATCAGGCAAACGGGGAATAAAGGAGGCAGCACGCACCCGCGACCGTGGATGAGAGGCGGCCAAACACGCGCCGATCCATCAGCGTCTCTTCCGCCTGCCTCCGCCTGCCGGGGGCGAACACGCGCGTGAAACAAGTGGCTGTTCCCCATCCTCTCTCCCCCTGCCCAGGAGTCCAAAATCTGGTGATATGTGGGGGCGGGGCGCGTGCACGTCTCTTTGCAACCAGTCTGTGCAACCTAAGCGGGCAATTTCCAACCGGCAGATATTTCCCCGCAAGGTCACTTTACAACCAGGAAGGGCACTTTCCAACCAAGCAAGTAAAATCAACGCCCCCATGATTCCATATAAGTCCATATCTGCGTCGTCCCAAATAAGGAGCGCACTTGGCTGCCTGACGCGCGTCGGTTGTAAAGTGGGTCGCCCTGGATTATATATATATATATATATAAATGAAAACTCACATTTCTGATTGAGAAAGGACTTACCTCATGGAGTGGGATAGCGGACTGTCGGAGAAGGGATGAAAGCAAAGATGCACGGTTCCTAAAAGCAGTCGCACTACCAGCTGAGCGACCAAGCAATGTTTAGTATTGCCAGTGTGGGTATGACGAATCGCGGTAATAATAGCCGTAGTAGTCGTCGTCGGAAAATAACAATAGTTGGACTGGTAATCGTGGTAGTAGTAGTAGTAGTAGTAGTAGTAGTAGTAGGTAGTACAAACCAAATCAGTATTACTCATCGTCGTAGTA